AGATAGATTGGGTCCTGTTTCTTATTTTTCACTGTTCCTCTCGACAGGGTGAGGTGACGGGTGTTCAGCTGCAACATGACACTTCACCGCTAGATGTCACTGGATCCCGCACACTGAACCTTTAAAGGCCTTATTTCCCACAGGTCCTGAAGGCAGCAGCAGATGCAGGAGGAGGGCGTTCCTCTGAAGAGAAGCGGATCTCACATCTGGACCGGTTCCGATCCTCACACCGACCCGCTCCGGATCATTTCCCTCTTGGACCGGGCCTGTGCTGGGTGTCYGACCCGCCTGCTGCTCACCAGAGCCGGGGACGGGAGGCCGCGGGAGGCCGGGGGGGCTCAGGCTGAGGACATGGAGGCTGTGACCGAGCTGTAGGACGGAGCCTCGCTGTTCCTCCTCCGGTAAGAAACAATGGACGGCGGCGGCGGCTCGTGTGAAACAGTCCCTGGATGTTCCGGAGAATAAACCTCCGGAGGATGAACGTGTGGCTCCGCTGCAGATTCACATCCACTCGAGTTTCTCTTCGTCTGAAGACAAACCTCGTTTTAACCACGCAGCCTGGAATGATGCGTTCACGTGCTCCTGCCTCAGTGTGCAGCGGGGGATTAGGATCATTGAACCATAACAACAGCTGCAGTCAGATAAAGCCAATGATACACACATGTAATGTGAAGTCAGGTGTAAAGCATTTAACTGCAGCATTTATCTCTGTCCGTGCATTTCATCGCTAAACTACTCCACTGTATTTATTCTGTTTCTATTCCATTCAGGTTTTTATAATTTCTACTTTGGGTTTCCATTCTCCTTATGTTTATAATGCATGGTTACTTATGAGAATAATAATAATACTGTGTGACTAATAGATCATGAAAATAAYAGGATGGTCAAATGAAGTCAGAATCCTCGTAGTTTGGATTCTCTGCCCAAATAATAACTATAAGAATAAAGACATATAATAATAAGATGGTGAACATGGAAATGAAACAAGACAAAACAAATATGGCTGTGGGAAAGTTATGACTATTATACATTTTTGTTTTTACRTACAAACCGATTCAACCAGGAGCAAGTGGAGGCGTCATTTGACAACAGTTTTAACTTGTGTAATGATGATGATGCTTTAATGTCAGAACACATCTGAAGTTAGTTTTGCGTCATATAGCAGCTGGGTTTACAACATCATGGGCAACAATAGACAGGAAGCAAAATACATCCATTTAACATTACGTCAAATTAAAAGAAGTTAACACAAAAGACAAGATGACGCTCAAGAGCTTCTACATAGATTTGGTCTGGTTCCACTTTTCATTTTATGATTGACTGGCTGTGTAAAACAACAGTGGATCCTCTGACATAACTGGAACTTTATCAAGATCATATAGAAACCAGAATTATTGATCGAGACCTGCATCACAGCTCAGCTTTTAAGATGAGGTCAAATCGTCCTTGATGAGTATTTCACAGTAAAATGAAGTGATGTGTATGTTTATGATGTTTTCTGTCTTGTTTGGTGATTTTCTTCCGGGTGTCGGCTCTTAGAATGGACCCTGCCCATGTCGGAGGGGATATGTCACCTCTGTATGTGCCAAGAAAAAGAAAGTCAGCCCAGTCACACCTTAAAAGTGGATCTCTATGTCCAGGTACACAAAAAAAAAAAGACAAGTTCCAATCATCACAATCAGCGTCAACGTGACAGTGCAACATCACGATTGAACTAGTTTCAGTTTTTCATTGTTTCGGGTTTGAATCTGACTCTCTCCTACAGTTGTTCAGCGAATGCCAGAACGAGACTGTGAATCAGATGCAGTTGGATGCACTAAGGTGAGAGTGAATGGATTATACACTACATCCTGCTGGTTTTGCATTTGTGGGGTCGTACCAGTAAATGTTGTGTATAAAGACGTGTCTCCTTGTTCTGATTCACACAATCTGTCGACTTCATGCACAGCGTCGCATCTTCACAGTTCTGTACTTGAATGTTTCAGAATGACGAGTCTCAAGCCCACGGCTCTCTGAAGATGAAACGGACGTACGGTAGAAAAAGGTACGAGAGCGATCAGACATGTGATAGTTCAAGAAGTGACTTGTTTTTGTTGGTATTAGAATGAATTTAGGGTAAGAACATTTGTTTGAACTTTGAACTTGAACTTATAGCTCGATGATGATGATGATGAAGAACAGCCAGCGACAGTCCAAGCACACGTATAAACTTTTGAACGTCTCCACCATCAGTATTTTCTGACGAGTATAATATTTCTTTTAATATCAGGTACGAGGACCTCCAGAGTGTTTCCATGGGAACAGTAGATTACCCAACCCCCAGCTGCTCAGTGATGTCATCAG